TATCATAAGGGAGATAGAATAAATACTAACATATAATCCTGAATACTTTCAAGAGCAAAGTATCTCGGTCATATATCTCAATGATGAATCATATCCATAACTGACATCCACTAAAGACTCAGGTTATCAATTAGCTATCTCAGTGCAACTCTTTACAAGATTTTAAAACTTAGCATCATCATGTGCAACGGACTACCCTGTAGGTATCCTAAAAAAAGTACACAGCTCATTAGTCTCATCGTGATCTCAGTACGTAACATGAGTGAGGGATGACCTACCATATAGGTATCCAAAAAGATGGCTCACAAGCCTAATCGCACCCTCGTGTGGACAGACTGCTAAACAAAGCATCCAAACCCGACTCAATACCATGTACGAATGGAATATCAATGCACTACCCCCCCGTAGTACTTAACTGAGCTCATCAACAATATCCATTTCATGTATAAACTATTTAAATCTGGTATATCGATGCACTATCCTATATAGTTGAGCTGTGCTCACCAACGATATCCAACAAGTGTATGCACAATAAACAACCCAACACTTGATGTAATCCCCTCTGGGATACTCATGTGTGTGCAAACGACATTGTGCTTGTGTATTCGTGAATTTATATGTAAAGGAATGTGGCTCGAATCTCGTGAACACATCTCAAACAGATACAAAACACAAACTCAGAAAACAGCCTTAGTAGTCGACTACTACGCTTAGTAGTCGACTACTCCGAGCCCATCCAGAATCTGAAAAATTAGACTAAGTGTGAGTAGTCGACTATTATGAAAAACAATTCTGTGAGTCGCACCAGGTAAGGAGTAGTCGACGAGTAGTCGACTGCACATGTTATTAGTCGACTACTCTGTGTTAAATAGATTTCTGTTTCTCAAGTTTTGATGTTTTTGGTGATACTTCCTTAAACAAAACTCATTCAAATCACATAGAACATAGGAAAAAGGTTTTAGTCTTCTGAAATTTACTATCAGAGATTAGTTCACATGATTTAACTCTTGGATTAAACACTAATTAGGGTTCAACCTCATAATTATTCAAATTCTCACATAAAAGCATGAATTATCACATGATTAACTTGGTCATGGTTATAATTAACATTGAACATAGATAAGCTTTTTTAAAACACGTTCATGTCATTATGATCTCACAACCTAGGGTTTGAGCATGATTAATTTACACAAAAAAAACTCGATTAATTAACAAACGAGGGTTTGCACAAGGGTTAAACTTAATTAATAAATTAAAAATAAAATTAATATTTATCCTAATGATCATGATCGTGTTTCTAATGTAAATAGTAAGGAAGACATCAGATCTATCATGAATTACAGACCTATTATAAAAAATCTACCTTTTATCACATGTAACTATGAATAAACATACAAAACATTAATTTAAGCACATTAGATCTTTAAATTATTAAGGGTGCAGATTTGGATGAAGATGGTCTTTTCTTAGGGTGCTACTGAACTCCTCAACCACGTATATGCAAGATCCCCCTTCAACCACGATTACAAATCTCAACCTTCCTCTCGACAAACGCCTCAAAACTCTCCCAATTCTCACAAATTAGGGTTTAGGGTTGAGGGAGGAATATGGCTACTGATCTCACGAATTTTTTTCTCAGAAATTAGGGTTTAAACGAGTATTTATAGAGGTATACACGACTGGGTACGAATATAAACCAAAATTGACCCGAAATCTGAAATAAATCCTGTAAACAGCCTTGTTAGTCGATTAATGCCTTTATTAGTCGACTAACGACCTTATTAGTCGACTACTCTAGGTTGTAGTCGACTACTAAGCTCAGATTCAGGTTTGTGCATGATTTCGTGCATGATTCTCATCTATATTCACATATATACATTGGATTGATCTCATATCAATTCGTAGCATACTCAAACTTTAATATATGTTATTTATCACCATATAACATATTTATTATTATTTATCATAATATATTCAAATTTATGAGGTTTTACACCTTCCCTCCTAAGGGTGTATAATCTAACCCTCAAATAACACCTAGTTAGAATCTTTTCATTGATATTATATATGGTGCATTCTGCACAAACTAGTGATAACTATATGAATTTTCCCCAAAAGACCTTTTTTGAGAAGTAATTAGTAAAGTTGACCTTGTCACTAAATAATAAGCAAAATCGATCCTTTTTTGCTATGTCATCAAGGGTGGCTAAAAAAAAGATAGGTTTTCAACAAAACGTCTTTGAAATACATGGGACTAGTAGTCCTATGTAATTAGCAAATGCTAATCAAAGAATTACCTCAAATATATATGACACTACTAGTCCTGTGTATTTTGCAGACACCTCTAGCAAATAGTAGTCCCATGTATATTTTGAACAAGTACAAAACATGCACGAATGTTCATAGCTTCTCTCTTGTGCATAGAAATTGTCTCTTGTGCATATAAAATATCCAATTCACCTCATATACAAATCCAAACATATAAATTCCATAAATTCATACACAACTAAACATATAAATACATATTCTTTTCCATGCTCAAATAAATCAAAACATTGCAACAAAAACGCAATGGACAAACTTCTTTGTTCTAGTACAAATTGAGCGAGTGGTTATTTATGATTCATCAATTTTGATAATTATTCAAGGAAAAAGAACTCATCACTCCACACTTTTATTTCCTATAATTCAGAAATAGGGCGGGATATACAGTCTGTTTATTATTATCATATAAACTTCATTTTCTCTTTCTTTGTTTAGTAGAGATTCCTATGTTTGTCTTACATCCTTCATTTTGTGATATTACTTATTAGCCTACAAACGTGGGGGAAAAGGAAATGTAGTTAGAGGTGGTGTCTAAGTTGTCTCTTGTGCATATAAAATATCCAATTCACCTCATATACAAATCCAAACAAATAAATTTCATAAATTCATGTAACTTCATACACAACTAAACATATAAATACATATTCTTTCCCATGCTCAAATAAATCAAAACATTACAACAAAACGCAATTGACAAACTTCTTTGTTCTAGTTCAAATTGAGCGAGGGATTATTTATGATTCATCAATTTTGATAATTATTCAAAGAAAAAAGAACTCAGCACTCCACACTTTTATTTCCTATAATTCAGAAATAGGTGGGATATACAGTCTGTTTATTATTATCATATAAACTTCATTTTCTCTTTCTTTGTTTAGTAGAGATTCCTATGTTTGTCTTACATCCTTCATTTTGTGATATTACTTATTAGCCTACAAACGTGGGGGAAAAGGAAATGTAGTTAGAGGTGGTGTCTATAATTTGTACATGGTTATATCTATACGTATGTGTATGTAAAATGTACATGAGAAAAAAAAAAGTCTAAACATCAGACATATGTGTAAGTAAAATGTAAAATGTAAAATGTAAATGAGAAAAAAAATCTATATGTATGGGTGGAAAAAATTAGACGGGAGGATATTTTTGAGGGTAAAAATTAAGTGGGAGTGTAAGATAAGCTTGTAATCCTCTATTTTATTGTTGTTCTTAATTAAGACTTGAGCGCATTCTAAAGCCTTCGTTTTGTTGAGGTGATTAATATGTGAGTATAGTCCCACATCGGATAAGATAAGAAAGGGTAATGAGTTTAAATAGGAGTTTGGGTCAATACCTGAAAGTTATAACTTTTGGGTTAAAAGTGATTCCTAACTTCTGTTTAAGACCCACCAACTCTAGATTGGCCTGATTTATCCCCTAACAGTGATATCAGAGCTAAGATCATGATCCAAGTAATTTAAAAAAAAAAGATGATCTTCGATGTGAAGCCCAAATATGTGGGGAGAATCCACGGATGCCCGTAGGAGTGATATAGTCTAGTTAGCCATCATGAGTGAAGTAGTGGGAGTTTCTACTGATGTTTGATAGCTATGAATTGAATGCATGGCCTGGTTAGCCCACGAGTATAGTGGTGTAAAAATTTATGAATCGGTTAGCCCATGGGTGAAGTGATGCAAAACTTAGTGAATTCCGTGGAAGATTGAATTATAGTTGAATTAAACTATACTCACAAATTAATGGAGAGTTGTTGATTAATTAATATGTGAGTATAGTCCCACATCGAATAAGATAAGAAATAGTGATTAATATGTGAGTATAGTCCCACATCGAATAAGATAAGAAATAGTGATGAGTATAGTCCCACATCGAATAAGATAAGAAATAGGAGTTTGAGTCAATACCTGATAGCTATAACTTTTTGGTTAAAATTAATTCCTAACTTCTGTTTAAACTCATCAACTCTAAATTGGGTCTGATATCTCCCCCCAACACGTATATATCTTAAGTTTGTTTTGATCTCTTGTTACAAACCTGGAGAAAAAGGAAAAAAGTTGTCGGTTTTTGACATAGTATTTGTTAATCATACTTAGCTTGAAAGTCCAGAAAGATAAGATATTTTAATCAAATGAAAAAAGAAAGATAAGATAATAGATTATAAATTTCTTCTCACTATTTTTTTCCTCTTATTTTCTTACCCGAAAAACCGTGAAATAAAAAACTGTCAAAACATCGATTTTCAGTTATTTATGTTGTTTCTTTTCCGAGTGAAGCAACATTCTAATTTTTCCATCAACCTTGCTTTTACTCTAGTCTCTAGAATATTCTGATAATTTAACGCCCCGACATGATGTTTTAATTTTCCCATTCATTCATGATCTATGCTTTGCCTTCATCCTGCCAAAGCGACAGCCTTCCCTCTTTACATAATCAGCTCTCAGTTAATGGTGCCATACAGCAAGGACCAATGACACCTATCCTCAATTAATTATGAATAGCCAAGTCAAACATTCAAACCAGCCAAAACCCATTCACGTGTTTTTCTTTTACCATGGGCTCACGAGACGTCCCATCACTCCCCCAAAATTAATTATGAATTCTCAGTCGGCGTAAAATTTCCTATACGACGATCTCCATACAAAGCTCACCCATTAATACGACCGACCAGTATAAATACCACCACCTTCTCTTCCGTTGCGCATAAACAGAAGATGGGGCCCAATTCCTTTCTTCTTCTTCTTCTTCTTGGTGCTTGTGCTATTCTACCTCTTGCAAATATATCCTCCGCTTCAAGATTGGGAGGAGCTGGCACGGTCCCAAAACCAGGAGGGTACGGTCCAATAAAGAACTTGAGCGATCCACACTTGGGTGAGATTGGTAAGTTTGCGGTGAGTGAGCACAACAAAGAGGCCAACACCAAGCTTGTGTTCACCAAAGTGATCAAAGGTGAGAGCCAAGTTGTGGCTGGAATCAACTACAAGCTTGTTATCGAGGCCAAGGATCAAAATAATGAGGTGGGGAGATATGAGGTTATTGTTTATGAGAGGGCTTGGGAGAAATATATGGAGCTTACTTCCTTTAACCCTGTTGGTATTCCAGGAGGGTATATCCCAATAAAGAACTTGAGTGATCCACACTTGGTTGAGATTGGTAAGTTTGCGGTGAGTGAGCACAACAAAGAGGCCAACACCAAGCTTGTGTTCACCAAAGTGATCAAAGGTGAGAGCCAAGTTGTGGCTGGAATCAACTACAAGCTTGTTATCGAGGCCAAGGATATTACTCGTAATAATAAGGTTGGGAGGTATGAGGTTATTGTTTGGGAGAAGTCTTGGGAGAAATTTATGAAGCTTACCTCCTTTAAGCCTGTTGGTATTAAGGTATAAAATTATTTAAATATATGATGTGAGTTTTGTGTGTTTGGTTGTACTGGTTGATTGACTATCATAATAAAGTGGCTATTTTTGTTCTAATTTGTATTTTTCATTTTTCATTTTTCATTTTTTAATTTTTTTGTGTTCTTTCGATTGGTGGTGATGTCTTTCATTGTTAGATGTAGATCTGGTGTCGAAATTTAGTTGTGTTTTTGTAGGGGTGATTGTTGTGATTTGAAGTTTTGTTTGGAAAAAGGGTAATTTGAGGATAGACCCCCTGAATTCTATTTGCGGATAGGACCCTTGTAACTATCACCCGATTAGGGATAGATTCTAGAGGAAATTGTTTGGCTCTACTTGTTAAGAAACTATTCTCTTTTTTTTAGGATAAAAGAGTCCAAAAACTTCACTCTGAATTCTATATGCAACAATAGATATACAATGGTCTAACCCATAATTAAATGATAGTATGGTGTCTTGTGCCAGAAAAAGTGAGCATTGATAATTAGAATGCTATTCCCATACCATTTTAGGGCCTGTCTGTTTCGTTTCCCCCAGAATCCAAAACCCATTTTCCTTCACTTTTTCACTTTCCCCCACTTTCCAAAATCTACTTTTCTTCACTTTCTCCACTTTCCTCCAATAATATTGTGACAACTCATCCCACCACATCTCATTTCTTTCTCCACTTTCCTCCAATAATATTGTGACAACTCATCCCACCACATCTCATTTCATACTTTTAAAAATAAACAAAACACAAGAAATGAGTCACATCAATCAACTCATCTAACTCATTTTTCCCCACTTTTCTTCGTTTTCTATCATCTTTAAAAATTACTCACATTATCCAATAATATGGTGACAACTCATCACATCCCATTAAAATTTCCTTCCATCACTTTCCTCCAAAAAAACAAGGATTGTGGAGGAAAACTCATCTCATCTCATCATCCAATAATATGGTGACATCTCATCTCATCTCATCTCATCTTATCTTTTTTTCCAAACTTTTAAGAATGAACCAAACACAAGAAAAAAAATCTAAACAAGGAAAGTGGAGGAAAACATCAAAAATTACTCACATCAACCAATAATATAGTGACAACTCATACTTTCCCCCACTTTCTTTTATAGCTTTGACGAACCAAACCTCTGAAAGTGAAGGAAAACGTCAAAAAATATTTTTTTCCCCCACTTTCTGTATTGAAACAAACCGGCCTTAAAGTATAAGAGAGAAAAATATAGGGCCTATTCTCTTAGCACCCGCCCCCCCCCCTCCCCAAGTAGCTCCGCTAATTTGTAGTGTAGGATATTTATTAATTGATTTTCGTAGCCTCAGTAGCCATTAAATTCAAAGTTTGGCCCCCTAAGAGCAATTGTCCATAAACCATAGGACCAATATCTAGAATTTGGCCCACAATCCACTGTGAGAAAAAGAGTTTGGGCCAATCTAAATATGTTTAATTTAAACTGATATCTATTATGATAACAATGATACTCGGAAACGATGTTCACGAAAATGTAAGATGCCGAGTATAGTTTTGTTGAGGCGCTCCTTTGGTGAGTCAACAGAAGGAGGAACCTTAGTCTCCTTAGATACTTTGCGGATCTTACAGATAGCCTTGGGGTTAAGGGATCCGGAGGAGAGAAACTCCTCGTATTTGGCTTGATCGAACTCAACAGTTAGAGTTTCAACAATACTCCCTATGAGTTTGGTGTCGGATTGCGCAATCACTTCTTCATCAGTGAAAAAGTTAGTCCCTAGCGGACTCGTCATCTATTATTTGCGAAAAAATTTAAAGGAAATGATGAGAATTGAAAAGTATAAAATCTCTCTAACTGACTTAGACAAAGAAATTACAATCTCTCAAAATATAAAAATCTCTCTGACTAACTTAGGCAAAGGTTAATACAATCCTTTTATCGGATTCACGATTACAAAAAAGAGAAAGATTAACAGAGATCATTCACTTTGTTTAATACTGGTTCCTTCACGGTGGCGGTGAGAGCTTGAATCTTATATCTCGTTGATGATCCGAGCACCACACTTAATAAAACTTCAATCTTCTCTAACTTCGGTTCGGGAGGAACTTGCTAGGCAAGTTTAACTTGAGCCGATCTTCTTTAAAGATGATCTTAAGAGTAGAAAGTCAATCTTCCAACTGTAAATTTAGCTATTTATAGGGTTTAAGGGGAGTAACTGACCCCTTAATTTGCTCCATAATAAGGGCTTAATCGCCCCATTAAGTGGGGAGCTGTTCAAATAATTTGAAACGAACAAACGTGAAGTCCACGTTCAATACACGAGGATGACCCTTGCATTTAGCTATTGAGACGGGGGGTGAACCTCGCGTTTGGAATTTGGAATGCGAGGGTGGACCCTCGCGTTTGGAAGTTGGAACACGAGGGTGGACCATCGCATTTGGCCTTGAAGAGATCGTCAATTGTAATATTTTTTTAAATTCTGCAAGGATCGTTAGCTTGTAATCCTTACATTTAACTCTTGAAAATGTGAGAGTCGTTAATTTTTAACTCTTGTCTGTTGTCATGAAAATCGTCAGATTGTAACTTTCATCGTCAGCGTTTTGTGAGGATCAGTTATCTGCAGTAATTTTTAGACAGTCTACAGAACCCCTTCCAAAGTTTTTAAAAGTTCGCGCTTGACTGAGATGAATTTTCGAAATACTTTGGATCTTGATTTTGTTTGATCTTGGAACAGTGGAATTGCTTATTGAATCTATCCCGAAGGCACCACGAATTTGGTTGAAGAAATTTGACATGCAAGATTCGAGTTCTGGTTCTACAGATGTGAGGGTTGCATTTGCAGGGGTGAACCTCGCGATTTAGCATTTGAAACGCGGGGGTGACCCTCGCATTTTGATACTGAAGTCGAACCGACTTCAATGAACACGAGGATCGCGTTTAGGCGGGATTCTCTCCTAGAATCCTATGCTAATCATGATAGCCTGGCTGTCTATATATAGACCCTCGGGTCAAATAAGAGTCAAATCGACTCTTTCTTCTCAACGAGAACCCTCGTTATTTTTTGGCGATCTTCCTACTATTCATCATCGACGAAACCCATGGCTCCATGAAAGGGTTCTTCCCGATCTAAGAAGTCTACTAGGGCCTCTCCAAGCACGCCGATGGCCGAGGCTGACCCTAGGGTTTCGATCGTTGGTGGCACCACCGCTGACACCCTGCTCATTGCCTTTAACCTTGTTCAACAAGTTGTTTTTTTCCCGATTCAACACGAGGCTCGCGTTTCGAACAGTGATCCTCGCGTGAAACGCGACGGTCGTGTTTTGAACGATGATCCTCACGTTGAACGCGAGGCTCACATTCTGAACGATGACCTTCTCGTGGAACGCGAGGGTCACGTTCTGAACGATGATCCTCGCGTGCAACGCGAGGGTCACATTCTGAGCGCTGACCTTCGCATTGGACACGAGGGTCACGTTCTGATTAAGTCTTTTAGACTTTTTGATTCATCTACTTTAAGATACTAACTATTGTCTTTCTTTGTGTAGTGTGCTATTCTAGCGAGCCCCTCTCTTTTCATCATCACTTCAGACATGAAGAGGGTGCAAACAATGCTGTGACGTTCAGTCTGCGCTGGGAACTTCCCGTCTTCCGAGTCCAGGATATGGAGCGTGCAGAAAACATTACTCAGGTGAGTTCGACGACTCTCAGGGCCATGGTCACAGATTCTAAGTTTAAGACTGTAGACCAAAATTTTTTTAAGAAGCCAGCCTTCTTATTTGGAGATTTCATTGACATTAATACAGAGCTTGTGTATGATGGGAATCACAAGTTGCTCCGGAAGATTGGTGATCGCTTCTTCTTCCTGCCTAACATGGAGCAGATGTACCCCCTATCTTATTTCTAGTGTGCCTCTATTTCCAGACATATGTAGTGGGATCTTGTTAGAGAGTAGGACGGAGTACCCATCGGATCTCTTACTCATCAAGGTGTTCGCCTGGTGGGTTACAGTAGGCAGTAGGTGGCTTTGAAGCCTGGTCTGTTCCGCTCAGAGTAACCAGCTGGCGAGACTGCCAATTTAGCAAATATCTTTGTCAGAAGTTTTATGCGGGGCCAAGGGCGAGTTCCCAGCACAAAATTTCAAGTCTCCTGGATGGGTGTATTCTGTAGATGGGGGATGGTGGGCTCGCATGGTGAACTTCATTTTGGAGGAGCTAAGAGAGCCACTTACCAACTCCGGTCTTGGGACTCCGGTGTTGGCTACTAGATATGGAATCATGCAGAGCCACTATTGTTTGGGGAGAAAGTCGATTTGTTCATTGTTGTATTCATTACAACTTCAGTCGTTATAATGAAAACAAAAAAAGATAGTTGTATTCATTACAACTTCAGTCGTTATAATGAAAACAAAAAAGATAGTCTTTTTATAAGACTCTTACACAATGAAAACAAAAAAAATACAACTCTCATCAAAACAAACGCAACGAACGTTTATCCTCCGCTGCTTGCGTGAGATCTTGGCATGTGATGGGGATGTTAGTATCCGTAGACCACCAAACGATCAGATCAAATCCGGAGCTTTGTTGATTCGTGAGGAAATCAGGAAGCCGAAGTAATTATCTCAACAACAGTGAGATAATCACTCTTCTCGAGATCACCATAACGGGGAAATCTCAAGGCAAAGGACTGGGAAGTGTAGATCTAATGAGCTCCTCTTCTTTATGCTGACGAACTCGATCCAATCTCCTTCTCCCTTCTGAAATTTGTACTCCTTTAGTCTTCAGTTCCAGCAGGGCTTTGCCAACACTCGAGAATTCCAGATCTAAAAAAATAAAGGCCCTGGGCTATATTTATAGGCTTTAGGACCTCTGTTTTTGGATAAGAACGATCGATTCACTCTTATATTTAGTTGTAACCACTTTATCACGTTTTTGGATAGATTCAGATCAGTTAGAACAAATCCAGACGGTTAACGATCGAAAAATGGCTAAAAACAGTCAAAAACAGATTTCGGGGGCTGCATACACTCGTAGGTGTCTCGGCCATGCTTTGGCCGAGACACCATTTGGTGTCTCGGCTAAGCATTGGTCGAGACACCATTTGGTGTCTTGGCC